TTTGTGGTGGTTTTGTATTTCTGCTGGTGAGTAGGATTCCAGTTCTCCGCGGGGTAGGGGTTTGGGTTCAGAGCAACAAGGTGAGGATGGCTGGAGTGGAAAACCGCAGCATCTTCCTTCGCGATTGGCGATTGATTGACGACCTCCGTAGCCGAGTAGATTGTACGCCGGGTTTCATGGTGTCGCCGACTCGAGAGGTCCCGGGTTCGAATCCCGGTGGGGGCAGATTTGTGTGATGAATACGAGCATTTGTACTCCAGTCATGGACGTTTAATATGTATTTCTATACAAATATACTTATATAATTATGTACAGTATATTTATTCTATCCGTTACCCTAGTATCCACACACATAACACAAGCCTTACAGTGCTTACTTTGGGTCTAGGCTAATTGGTGTGAGTGTTGGAAATCTTTATTTTTTTATTTATTGGACTCCACTTGGACCTACCATCAGGAAGGGAGGGGTAATTTGTTGCGCCACGTTTAAAAAATAAGACAAACTTAGTGACAATTTCTGAATCAAAAGAATATTTATCTCTTCCCAATTTAGATGCGCAAAAGGATCTTCGTATTGAATGGAGACTTGTATCTTCTAAGATAGCGACCCACAAAGAGAACACTGATTGCATCAGTGTACGTGCCGCAAGCCTCATCGCCTCATACGCATAACGCACTGGCCTGGCCTCTAGAGGCGCAATTACGCTTTGTCGTTGGCCCGTATTCGGGTGCACGAAAAACAATCACTCAATTTCGGGCATCCGATGCAATTACATTGTTTTAGTCACGTTCACAAGCACAAATTTTGACAGCTCCGTAATCTTTAGCGAATCTAAAATATAAGCAGCTGCTATCGGACGTAACAAAAAACTAGCTTTTTCCATAATTTTACGTTGACGATAGCGATTACTGTCAAAATTCGTTTTTGGGCCTCTTGAACGTACTGACTTTAGTGATGCCAGAATGGGGGGTACCAAAACAAATACGGCCGTATCCGCTCCGTTCATTTACACTAGAGATGGGCCGACTATAGTATTTGCCGACTAACCGACTAGCCGACTAATCGGTTTTCGAATTGCCGACTGTTCTGCAATGCCGATCATTCTAATACCTATCTTGGGAAGGTGTTCGGAATATTTCGTCACTACTCGGCTTTGCTCACGCACGACACGCGTACCCCAAATCAAGGCGAAATATTCTAGTTCCAACATCACAATTTGCCTTTAACGATTTTTTTTACCTATGGACTTCATTAAGACTTGCTGGCACTTAAGATTTTACTCAACTACTACATACTTACTTCCCATTGCTATTTTGTTATGTTCGATATTCACTGTGTTAACTTAAGCACTAAGTTCCTAATTCTTATTGTAACCTTTTTTTTAATATTTTAAGACTAGATAACTTTAAATACACTGTACGACTGTACTGTTCAAATATACAAAAGAAGCATAACTTTTGAGTTTTATTTCATTGTTATGTGCCGATTATAATCGGCATGTTTTGCCGAATAGTCGCCAACTAATCGCCGACTATAAACGATGCCGAATAGTCGTCTTTCCCTACTAGTCGGCGGCTAGTCGACCCATCTCTAATTTACACTTGTTGTTTGTCCGAATTCCATAGGCATTTGTATACGAGCTAACGATCAAGTGTGATTGCGCCTTAAAGCATGTTGGCATAGATAAACATTAAAGACTGCATACCTTTGTGGCGTCAAGAGATTCTTATGACTAACTTCTATGACTGGTTCGCGTAATCTTCATTAAGATCGAATTTTGTCCAATTTTTACCTTGATACAAATTATCTCAAAAAACATATAAAATTATACTTAAAATGACTCACTTTTCAAAATTTCAAACAAATTGAATAAAACTTGCTGAAAATCTGTATTAAAAAGGAAAACTGCGCATAAAGAAACGTTACCTTTGACGCAATTTGTTATCGACTGACAGATGACAGCTTATACTATTGGTTTAAATTCGTTTCCTTGATTGTGATTGGTTGTATTTAAAATCACGTGATTTCCGTATTTAATTGTTATTGACTTAGAGGTGCACATTTACCTTATTATATTATCTATGTTGCCATTAATTCAAATGTTTGAATGATATTTTTATATGGTACAAGTGGATAAAAAACTCCATTTATATTTTTGATGAATTCGGCATATTTTTGTACACTTAAATGCATGATAAAACTTGGGGTACAAAATTGTATGGAGAGAAGAACAGATCCTATCCGATCTATTCTTCTCCTAGCCTAACCAGGCTATTAGTAGTTGTTTGGCACGGTTGCCATTTTCTCAAATCCGAAAGTAGAAAGAACTTGGTCGACGCTTATGTCCCTAAAAGCGGGGAATATTTTTTTGTTGTTTCTCTGCAGTTATTACCACCAAAAGCCAAACAGGGGCCCATGATCAAATACCTTTTTTTTCCTTAATATGTTTCGAATCTCTCCAAGAGTTTCACATCTTGAAAATTTACTTCAATTGTTTTCTTATACATTTTCTCATTCTTTTTTTCAACTGCTCATTTATTTTAGGCCACAGAGATTCTGAGAAAAATATATTGTATTTAGGTCCTGCCAAGGATCCCTAAGATTTATGACGTCAATACTTAACCTTTCTATTCTGAGGTGAAGTCAGAAGTCATAAAGCGACATAGATATAAATCACAAATTTCATTAAAAAAAGAAAAAGATCACTGATAATTCCTGGCATTGTTGTGTGGATTCCTTATCAAAGGAAGACGGCACAAAAATGGATATTTGAATTGTATTAGCTCCGGTATAGTTGTTGAAAACATATGACGTATATATGGTTTAACTAGCGGCCGCCCGCGACTGCATCCGCGTTAAAAAAATAGTTTTTTGTGAATTCCACAGGAACCTTTATTTTATTCGGTAACATGCAAACAGGCAAACATGCAAGCTTTCACATTAATAATGTTAGTAGGATTATTGTAGTATTATAAAGTTTAAAAAAAAACTGTTTCTTCGTAATAAAGCTGCCACCTGGACGTCCTAATTAGAGACTTATTGTTATAATACGATAAAATAAAATATTACTATGTTTCGTCCAATATATTGTAAGTCAACAACCTTTCCAATTTTATTGTTTTTGTCTTACGAATTTTCGATTAGGTCTTGACGCGATCAGGCCACGTGTCCTGACGCGAGTTTACCATTTTTTACCCATTACAGAAAAGTGTACAACGCCGCTAAAGAAGTTTTCACTTCAAAAATCTAGCAGTTAAATGCTTAAGAAATAAAAAATATAACTAAATATCTAACAATTTGTTAAGGGCTTATTAACTGTGTGTCTATTTGTTTAATAATATTGTCGTTAGTATTTCCAAATTATACTTTAATTCATCTTTTTTTTTTTTTTTTTTTTTGTTTTTTTATGTTGGGAAAATGCGTTATGCATACCCCGCCGGTATGTGGCGGGGTTATGTGGGACTCCTCCTCCCCCCAAATCCCGCCCACCCGCCCAGCCAGGCTGGCTCGGCGGCTGTTCGGGATGAGGGGGGGGGGGCTACCCACTAAAAACCCAACAGTGCTCCCTCGTCTGCCGGAACGGGTTTTGTGGGATCCGGGTGACGCTCCACGTTACCCGGCAGAGGTTCCTCCTCCTCCTGATGGTCAGGGGGATGCCCTGGAGCACCTAGGCATCCTCCCTCGACGGGTGAGACTGCGCAACGCGAGCGACGGACTACCCTGTCCGCCGCCCGCAGTCCCACTAGGGTGGAAAGAGGCGGTCGTACTGCCGCCGTCTTCCCCCCGGTCGTCGGCGACGGAGAGGACCGGCCCGGGCGTCCCCCTCGCGGGCCCTCTCTGCTGTCTCCTTCTGTAGGATGACTTCCTCACAGAAGGAGACGACCGCGTTCCAGGATCTGTCGCTGTCCAGCATCGCTTTAACGACGCTGGGCAACGAGAGATCCCTTCCCACTGCCATGACCATATCATGGCGCTGCCGAGACCACGACGAGCACTCTTCAAGGGTGTGCTGCGCCGTGTCCTCGGCAGCGCCACAATGATGGCATGACGGGGTCGCTTCCCTCCGTATGCGATGCAAGTAGCTGCCAAAACATCCATGCCCTGCCAGCACCTGCACCAGACGGAAGGTCAGCGACCCATGCCTCCTTTCCTTCCATTGCCCCAAGACTGGCCGCAGCGCCTCCAGGGTCCTCACCCCGAACTGCTGCGCCCCCAGCTCCTCGGCCCACTGCTCCATGACTAGCTCATCCAGTCTCCTCCTGTGGGCTAACACCTCCTCTGATGTTAGTCTCTCTCCCCGTTGCCGGGCCTCCGCCCTTTGCCAATATAGGCTTGACAGTGCCCTCGCTTCAATCGCCCATGGAGGCGACCCCACCAGTGCGCATACGGCCGCGAACGACGTGGTGCAGTACGCCCGCGCGGCCCTTTGCGCCACTACCCTTTGCGGCCTCCGTAGCAGGGCCTCACTCCCCGCACCTATGCGATCTGCCCAAATGGGCGCCCCGTATAGGGCCATACTTCTAATGACCCCAGCGTACAGCTTGCGGCAGCTGGCGCTGGGGCCACCAATATTCGGCAGCATTTTACCGAGCGCCGCCGCCGCACTAATCAGCCTTGGGGCCAGCTGCTTGAAGTGGGCATCGAAGCGCCACTTCGCGTCTAGCACTAACCCCAGGTACTTCAGGGTGGGCTCTACTGGCACTCTGGCTTCGCCCACCCTGACATACGCCCCGGCCGGCGGCTTGCCCCTGGATCCGTGGAACATTACCGCCCATACTTTAATTCATCTGCCTCATGGCGCACCGTTGAGGCTCTACAAATCCCCCAAAAGACTTTTGTGTTAATGTGTTTGTATTGGTACATATCTATGTTTTTTTATTACTCAAATATCGAATGGCAACATAATTCTATCTTAAATTTTCGACTCGCACTTGTCCCGAATTTTAATCGCAGATTAGAATAACAATACAATTACAACCATATATATTGTCTCCCGCAGGTTGGTGAATTCAGTCCTTCAAGAGGAGCTGAAGACAATCCACGCGTTCACCCAGAAGACGATGACAGTGGAACAGTGGAAAGCACAATCATAAATGTTTAAAGTTCATTATACCATGATATAAAAGTCCAGTGGTTTTTCTTCTACCTTACGTCCGTACGCAAAGAGTGTTCAAAATGTTCAACGGAATGGACAATATGTTTACCGTGAGCGTGTCCGCGCCGGGGAAGGTGATCCTCCATGGGGAGCATGCAGTGGTTTATGGGAAGACCGCTCTCGCAGTCAGCCTCGGGCTTAGGAGCTCTATTGTTGTGAAGGTAAGTTTGTTTTTTAACGGCCAGAACCATATTTCAGGGGCATCACTGAAGATAACACATTCACTCCTCTGTCTTCTGCACCACTTTTACTATACTCATCAAAAAAGTCTAAGCAACATAGACTTTGAACTTTTGAACGATTTCAACTATTGTAATATTATATTTTTATGAAGACAAAAGCACAATCGTAAAGTTTCTATATTTAAAATCAACCAATTATGTTTCGTAGATAAAAAAGGATTGTAATTCCAATCAAATAATTACAGTGTCTTTTTCACCAAGAACAAGTCTCATATACTAGTTTTAAACAAAACTTGTGGAATACTTGCTGTGGCTGTTTAAAAACATTCTTTCGTTGAGACGGCATAGACAACTAGTAACTTACCAGTATAAATCACTTATTTACTTCACATATTTTGTTTATCAACTAGTTTGATGCAAGTATTGTATACTACATGTTTTATACTTGTTTAAAAGTGTGAAAAAAAATAAGACATTGTATAAAAAATGTTAAATACATTTAATATACCTTGGGTAAAAGACTTAGTCTTTTTTACCCGACTGCCAAAGAGGGAGGGTAATGTTTAGGGAGTGTATGTAAGTATGTATGTATGTCTGTTCCTTTGTGACCTCCTGTAGCCTAAACGGCTTGATGGATTTTGATGTATGAGGTATCGTTAGATTTGTCTTGATTACGGGAGTGTCATAGGATACATTTTATCCTAAAAGTCCCACGGGATAAAGACATAATAATATTTTTTCTAAATTTCCCTTTAAAAAAATATGTATGCGGTATCATTAGATTCATTTTTAGACTGTCTTAAGGTACTTAATAATTCCCGCGATATTAATTCCCTTACTGAAGTAACAAGACTACGGTATATACCGTCTTAAAATACTAACTAACTAAAAAGTGTGAAATAAAAAAGGTAAATTTAAAAAATCAAAAAACCCGACTGCTTAATTATACTTCAAATAAAAACTGAAAAGAAAAAAACAAGTCCAGTAGTCTATAATTCTGTTAATAAGGAACAAAGCTACTTTAACAGTCGGGACCCACTGTTGAAAAATATTATGTATTCTTGAATATCTAATGGGTCCCGACTGTTAAAGTAGCTTTGTTCCTTATTAACAGAATTATAGACTACTGGACTTGTTTTTTTCTTTTCAGTTTTTATTTGAAGTATAATTAAGCAGTCGGGTTTTTTGATTTTTTAAATTTACCTTTTTTATTGATGTTTGATTATTTCCGTTGTACATAAGGCTCTATGGTCTACTATAAGGACTTTCATTTTTTTAATTATTTTTATTAAATAATGGACTTCAGGAGATGGTGATCTATTCATATTTATTACCCACTGTTTATTTAACATCATTGTTTTTATCGGTTCAAGGATTCTAAAGATCGTTGGTTCAATGTCAAAAATGAAAGAATTAAAAACTACTTATCTGTTACAATTTTATTAAAAATGGTATTTGGTTCTGTTTATTCTATAACAATATCAACTTTCTCTAAGAGAGTGTCCATAGCCACATTTTAAATGTGGAATAATATATTTACATTTAGCAAATATTCATTTATTTTGTCACTTAATTTTAGATTTATCACTAATCTGCAATACCCTAATAATAATATCTATTTTCAAGAAATGTTTTAGTCATCATAGTAATCAAAACGGTCTCTAGTTATTTGCGTATTTATATTTATTTTTTAATATTATAATCATACACATATACTAAAGTACAAGAATATGCTGTAAGTAATATTAATCATTTAAATTATGTTAACGTAGGTATGTATCTATGTATATCTCAAGTTATAGATTGATCACTTTATACTACAGCGTGAAGTTAAGGTATGTTCCTAAAAAAGTAAGTCACGCTCAGTTATTATACATTGATATAGAAAATAATAGATCTGTCACCAAATAAATGTATCAGTTCCTTGAATTAGTGGAGAAATGCCTATTAAGGGCAGTCAAATTAGCAGGTGGTCAAATTTACCCAATGTTAAACGCTGTTGTTTCGCCGAAAGAATTGTGTGAAGTGCTAGTTTTGGACTTGTTGTGTTGGACAGTGATTTAACGTAGAAATCGCAAGGTTAGGTTCACTGAGCCGGTAATCTATAAGAGCCGGCACTTCCCAAATCAATATATTCAAAACAAAAATCTAAAGAAATTATAGTCTGGCCTGTGCTGCCCTGGTAACGCTGTGAAACTGAAAAAACTACGCCATTGGTTCGCAAACAGATCCATGGGATAATGGAGTATGAAGTCATGCCAGTTGGTAATGGGTGTGGTCAGTCAAGGAAGAGTAGAGGGATTCTTCCATCCGGCGGGTCAGCGCATCTCTTCCTTAGGCAGTCACTCGGGGAAACAAAGCCCTGGAATTTTTTCCGAATTTTTAAATATAGGGAACGTGCACAACGAAGCTTCTGCCAACAGGCATGGCCAATCCAAATAGAGTAGAATAGTTGAAATTGGCATTTTTAACAAGCAAACAGAATTAATTTTATTAGTGAAAATTATTCTAGCTAATCAAAATGCATTGTTGCATTTCTGGATGTACCACATCATACATCCACAAAAAATGAAAAGAAATCAAGAAGCATAAAATTTTATTCCTTTCCATAGAATAATAACTACGGATAAGATGGTTGGAATTGCTAGTTTTGGATTTGACGCTTTCAGGAGAATTAACATATATTACTAAAGCGCAGATGTGCTTACATTTTCCTGAAGGGCCAGCCTTGCATTTACAAATTGTACTTGCAATGTTTCTGTTGCACTTAGTTGAAAAAATAAAAACATTAATAAAAATAATCTGTATAGGTACGTTTGAAAAATTAATTAGTAAAAACTATTATAAGTTAGACTCCGAACGGAATGTTATGTTTTTCTATTCTGAAAAGAGTAGTGTGCGCCTCGAAAAACATTTTGTATGTAAGGACGTGCATTCCGGGCTCTAAACAGTCTAGGGGTAAAGCAGACCAAGACCACGGTGATTCGGGGTAGACAATGTCGGTTATCCAAAAAGTGTCCCATACAAACCTTATGGCTCCCACAACCCATTTCCATTAAAAAAAATAGGGTTTCATGGGGACATTACTACTCCTCTGTACAGTCACTAGTGGGAACACGAAGATGGGGGTTAATAACAAAAAAGTGTCCCATACAAACGTTGTTCCTTATCAACCCCACAACCCATTTCCATCAAAAAAATGGGGGTCATGGGCACATTTCCGCAGAGTCTTTCCACACATTATAATTATTTCACATACACGATTTGTAATGCTTAAACTTGAATCATGAAGGAAGACATTTAGTTTTATTGCAGTATACAAACATACCAATATAAATTTTGAAGTACAACCTGACGAAAATTTAGGCCTGAGAGATACGCGACTCAGTGTAGACTTAATACTTTTGTTTTAGCAGGATTGTATTTTTATCTGATAGTTGTCACAAAAGGTATGCCCAATTTATTTTGTTAAAAGTGACGACGGCTTGGTTAGGTTATGTTAGTATTACGACCAAAACGCGCGAGCCGATCATGCCGTGGCAGCGGCCAACGAAGCGCCAGAAAAAGATTCCCCTTTTCCCAGAACTTCCTATGTTGGATAAAGAACATACCTCTTTTTGAATTCAGTTTAGTTTTATTTTTTGTTTTTATTACCAATCTACTCTAGATTGGTAAATATGATTGTTTCTATGATATTTTTTATTGCGAAAATTTATATCATCCCCAGACATGATAATGCAACTTATTCACTGATGCACTCAATTCTGTGTCACGGTTCTCTTGTATCAAACAGCGAATCTGGAAGTAACGTTATACAAAAACAAGTTTCAACGGTATAGATGCATTGATTCATTTATTTATTGACGTTTCATAACATTATGTTTGGTTTTCGATGGAGCAACTCTACCGACCATGACGTCTCGCCGCGCATTTCCGATTCGCATGCGGACTTCACGATATTCCAATATGCAATTAATCGCTAACTTACTGCTGCTTATTACTATACTGCTTATTAGTACAACAGAAATGAGGAATTGCTTAGGTTTTTAAACTTTGCCCGATGTGTATGTGTATTGTGTACTTTATCGACAGAAACATGCACATTTAATCATTAACGTTATTTCTAACAGTAATGTACTTTAATAATTGTCTTCTTTCCATCTATGCTTTAATTAAATCTCTAAATTATTGAATGCATGCACTATACCTTCTTTATTTCTAAGTTCAACATTACAATATGTCTATTCTATATTATTTTCTTTGGTGAGAAAACACCGTAAAATTCTATTTGTTAAAAGGTCAGCCAAACAAATTAATTATACAGACCTCTTAGTGACAGAGCAAAATGATAAGAAGCTGACACATTCGAAAGATATTTACAAACCTCTAACTCATGATGAAAAAAATCCTACCATTATCGCAAACCTATTGAGAAGTCAAATACCTAAGCCCTCTAAAACAAATCATTGTCTCGTAATGGACCACTAATAGGAAGACTAATATCTTTACAAATTTCAGGAAGTGAATTCGATAAAGGAACCGGCGGTCTACATCCACATGCCGAGTGTGGAACTCCAGGAAACTATACCATTGACGCCCACGATAAAAGCCCTGTTCTGTCCGCGGCTACTCCAAGACATCTCCGGCAAATTCTCCTGGAAAATGCCGGACAAGTTAGACCACGACCAACACTTGAGGAGAGTCGAGGAGTTCCTGCACATAATCAAGCCCAACTTCGATGTTCTCCCATCGAACCAGAAGAATTCCTTGCGCGTGTTTCTCTATATGTTCTCTGGAATATTCGGCAGTACTGATATCAGAGTGAAATCTTTGGACATTTCAATTGGTACTGAGTTAACAATTGGCGCTGGGACTGGTAGTTCGGCCTCCTTCGCTGTGTGCCTGGCCGGTGCTTTGATCCAGCTGCTGAAATTGAAAAGCCATTCGTCGAATTACGACGCCTATTATGATGAAGATTTCTCGATGACGGAGAAGGAAATAATTTCGGAATGGGCGTACAACGGTGAAAGGATCATGCATGGTACTCCATCCGGTAAGTGCTAACTGAACTATTTAAAATTGGATAAAAAAGTATTAACATCTCGGTTTAAACATAAACGGTCTTACCACAAAAAGTTAGATATAGTTTGAATTTTCTATGTATTTTCTTAAACTCGTGTTGAACGCACCCTTAAAAACTAGCATATCTTTAAAAAAAATATTTCACCTTAACTCGCCACATAAGTATAGCTAAGTTTCTAACTGGTCAATTATTCATGTTTCTAGAATGTCATTTTTTTATATTCTTCACTAATGAAACTTTTATGTATCTTTAATAAAATAGTGACATCGCGACATTCGGGTTGATTGCCAGTCTGTTTTTACCCGGCTGCGCAATGCAGGAGCGCGAAGCGCGACGCGCAGACAGGGTTATGTGTTTAACAGTCTATATATGTATGTTTGTTCCTTTGTGGCACACTAGAGACCAAACGCCTGGACCGATTTTGATGATTCATACATCAATCGATTCGTCTCAATCATGGGAGTGCTACTAAAGATATGATATTAATCAAAATTCAATATGGGCAAAATTAGGAGCCATATTGTGACGAAGTAAAAAAAAAAGGTGACAAAATATGTCGAGTGGGGTATCACTGTCTAGATAATCAAAAATCATATTTAGGTTTCTAACACCATTTTTCATTTTATATGATTGTTTAGGATCTACAACGCTTTAAAGTTGTATATTAACCACTTACGCTTTTAATTTCAATCTTACGTTTGTATGGATCTTTGTTACTCTTTCACCTAAAAAATACTGAATGGATTTTAATGAAACTTAACAGTAATATAGCTCATATATGATAATTACATATATATAATAATTTATGTGGTTATATGGTATTGAGTGAATTGGCCAATATATAGCAATAAGTGTCACATAAGACGGAAAAAAATGTCCCATCTGCGAGCCATTTTGGCCTGCACTGCAAAAACAAAAAAAGTTACATGAATGTAATGTAGAGTGAAAATGTATCTCTTAAATAGTTCTAAAAAAAAGTCCGTGACACCATATATCTATTTTTAATATATAAGTCATTACCGCTAAAATAGTGAATCAAAACTAAAATATTATTTGATATCTATTTCCAAAATGCACATTTTGTATTAACAAATCATTTTTTACCAAAACAAATACTTTAATCGCTTTTGATATTTAAAGACGATAAACTTTGCTTTTTACACTATGTCATTTCGACAAATATTTAAAAAGTTACAACGATGACAAAGTGATAGCGCGGTGTACTATGTAAAAGAAAAAAAAATGGGGTATTCGCAGTATCTGATCCTATACGCAGTACTAACATTAAAACTGTGATACAGTTCCTTCCTATTAAATGATGAAAAATATATTATCATAATAGGTATTTATGATTATTGAATTTTAATGAAAAACTCAGAATTTTACTGTTTTTTATTTTTTTAACGATATTACTTAAGGTTTATTTAATATAATGACAAATAACCCATTTTTCGCTAGTAAGTACATACTTATTGGAATCCCTGTATTTATTAATCAGCTCGCGATAATATTGGTTTTGTAATAATTCTGCAAAATTCAAAGTAAATAATGTAGATTTTTATAGGTAAATCACCCCTTTCATCACCCTACGCCTATAAGTATTGCGATGTTGTAGCTAAGAACCAAGTTCCCATCTACTTCTATATGGGAATACATTATATTCGATTTAGCTATTAGGGCACGGAAGCGCAACAAACAAACTCACTTTCGCATCTATAATATTATATTATACTTACTAGTGATCCACCCGGGCATTGTACGGGCGAAATTTATACTCAGACAAAATGTATTTAAATAAAGAAAAATGTTATAATAAATAATGTAGCTACCTTATGATGAATTAATATTTGAAACCGGTTCAGTAGTTTGATTGATTATTTGTTACAAACATACAAATCTTGCCTCTTTATAATATTAGTATAGATAGTTAGGATAAGATAAGTATTTAATTGATGAAAAAGATTTAAAAATAAAGTAAGTAATAGGTTTATTTGATTATATTTGTAAAAGTTACTTAGCATTTGTGCTTAACAGTGATACGTTATTCGGTATTTTTATAACAAAAAAAAATTGGAAAATAATTGCCATGATTGAACTACTGGGAGTACTCTTCATTCGAACTTTACACTACCAATAAAAAGGGTCGAACACAAAGTCTTTGACCTGTTAAATGTGAACGCTTTAAAAGAAAACTACAAAGAGAACTATAAATTGATAATAAATGAGATTGCTATGGTGCTCTACCCAACGTTATGAAAAATTTTATTATGCGCCTTTAGTTTAATCAAATATTATAAACTTTGCTTTGGTGATTGCATAATTATTTAATTTAGTGATCTAAGGCAGTTGCCACCATTGTCCAAAACAACAGACGGGAATTACTTCTTTCTTCAACCTGCGACATAAACTTCATTGATTGGTATTGTATATAGGGTGATTAAAAACATTTGAAGTTAACTTCTGGCAGATGCCAGAAGATCTGTAGCCTTGACCCCGCTGGTAAAGTCTTTGTATGTCTTAATAAATCAATCTTTTAGACCGACGCAAGGTACTTAATAATTCCCGCGATATTAATTTCCTTACTAAAGTAACAAGACTACGGTATATACCGTCTTAAAATACTAACTAACTAAAAAGTGTGAAATAAAAAAGTTAAATTTAAAAAATCAAAAAACCCGACTGCTTAATTATACTTCAAATAAAAACTGAAAAGAAAAAAACAAGTCGAGTAGTCTATAATTCTGTTAATAAGGAACAAAGCTACTTTAACAGTCGGGACCCACTGTTGAAAAATATTATGTATTCTTGAATATCTAATGGGTCCCGACTATAATACATGTAGGTACAATGTTATGTATGAACGGACATAACGACTCGGCCATGACATAGATAGCTAGAGGTCAATTTCATTTTCTTTGATGTCCTTAGTTACACATTTTAAACCCTTAGTTACTCGAATCAATATAGCGGTCCAAACCAAGTGTTGTATAGGTCTTTATGATACTGCAATGTTGGATTAAATGGTTCAAAATTATGATAATACAAACCTAATTCATCTGTCATATATAATAATACTTCAAGTGTGATCATCATGTGTATAATAAAAATATCTTGTAACTTTTTTGAAACCTTGAAGGAATACAATTTTGTATTTCAGGGACATCTCTATTCTCTGGATTTGTTTAATATTAAAATCTTTTGGCATTCACTTTAGTTTTTTGAGAATTTATCAGGAACCTCATATTTTTTTGGGATAAGAAGTATCCTATGTCTTATTCCAGGTCAGAAACTATATGTGTACCAAATTTAATCTAAATCCATTCAATAGTTTTTGTGTGATTGAGTAACAAACATACAAACCATCGCATCTATAATAGTAGTTGGTAGGCTAACCATTAACGTTCAACTTTTAGGCCGGATTGCTCCATCTTGATTTACAAAGACTGATTCATCGATGTCTTCGAATAATAAATATTGTTTGAGATAGCTAACGATACCGTTAAGTAATTGAGACCAATTTTGCCTTCATTCATATTTTTTGCTATGAATGCTTACGGGTTGATGACGTTAAAAATTGTTAACACATTATTTCAGGCGTGTGAACTGCGAACACATCTAGATGGATGGTAATAAATAAGCATATAGAGATCGAAATTATTTAGCGATGCATATTACAAAATCGTACATTGACACAGTTCGTTTGGAAGTTTGACCATGATTTCATATTTTAAAGTTATTATAATTTCTGAATTATTGTAATTAATATGCTGTGCAATACGATACGATGTGCATAAAATTTGTCTTATTTTATTGTTATTATATTATAATTTGTCTATTAGGACGTCTCATAAATAGTAGAGTATCTAATTTAATACAGCCATAACGCTATAACAGTTTCAAAATAATCACACTAATATTATAAATGCGAAAGTTTGTGAGTGTGTATGTTTGTTACTTCACATCTAAACGGCTGGAGCGATTTTAATAAAATTCGATATCGAGTTAGCTGACATCCTGGATTAACACATAGGCTAAGTTTTACTGCGGGTAAATATCCCTAATAAATCGCTACAGCTAGTTTTTTTATAACTGCGGCAACCTGTATGGAACACCGCAAGTATAGCATCGAGCTGTCCAATACATTCACTGGTTGTTTTTTTATTTCGGAACAGTCTGTTATAGACTTCTATCAGCCGCTACCACCCTTGGCGATTGGTTCCGTAGATGGCGTATCGAGGTTAACTCCGGCACCGGGCGGCACTTTGCCGGGGGCGGCGCTGCGGAGGTGGCAGATAGAGAAAAAAAATTAAAATATAAAAAAAAAAAAATTTCTTTCAGTTTTTTTTCGTCATTTTTTTGTTGTTGTTACCAAATACCCAGGTACCTATGCAGGTTCTATGCATGGGTGATGCAAGCGCAAGGTTGCCATGCCTCAATTTTTTTATAATGGATTGCAAAAATAAGAGGGCGGCAAATTTGGAATCCGCACCGGGTGCTAGTGACCTATGCTACGCCACTGCCTATCATGACCTACGCGAGTGTTTGCTTCTCCCACGTTCCTCCGTCGCGTCTTAAACCATTACAAACGCTGCAAAATCGTGTGTTGCGCGGTGCCACGGATTGCCCATGGTATGTGCGCAACATCGATTTGCATCACCTCAAATTAGACTCCATCGCGAAGTATATGAAGACTATGTATTATGACTCCTCGAGGCTTTACTTCGACAAAGCCGCGCATCACCCGAACCCCTTAGTAGTTAAAGCGATTAGTTATCAAGCAATAAGAGCATGTAACTTTAATAACTAGAATCGTTGGTAACGGATAACACACATAAATTTGTAAAAGATCATGACTCGAATACATAAATGCATGAATAATATAAATATTAGCAGTTGCCCGCTATAAAACGTGTGTATTAGAATAAGAATACAAACTCATTTATTCAGTCTAGGTTGTTACAAGCTTTTCTGAAAATCTAACGCTATGCCATCGGTTCGTTAATCTACGGCGGGAGAATTTGTAATGAGAAAAAACGGAAAGAAACTCAGCATGAGCAAGTTTTTTCTCCCTGTTTTGGTATTTATTTATATTATTTAGTGTTTTATATTTTTGCATAATAAAATGTAAAGTAAATTTAATTGAATCCTAAAGGCTGATTTTTAATCTCTGTATTATGGTCAATGCTCTGGATAACACTTATTCGTGTTAAAAATTCTGTCACCTAAGTTGTCACGAAGTATGTTTTTTTTTCAATGATGCTGGTGACTTCTATTTTTGAATGGGTAATTTATTTTATCCAAGAACCAACCCCTCATAAGCCCCTTATAAGCGGTTTAAAAACGTTATTGACATAAGGCCCCGATCTCCTTGCTTTTTTTAATGGTATTCGTAAAAGGTAAAGAGATTAACTTAAAACGTACAACTTCCCACAGCGGTTGTCCCTCTCAGCTATGATATGTCATCAAATGGCGGGTAAACCTTTTTCTTAGGAGCCAGCAACGCATGAGGGGTTACTACCCTTGGTAAGTAAGTATTCATGGATTCCATCTTACCATGAGGAGCTCGATGGCGTAAATGATCGTTGAACTTAAGCAACTTTCGCAGTGGTCGGTCATTGGATGGGTGACCAAAAATTACTATTTCGAGCTCCTCCGTGCTTCGGAAGGCACGTTAAGTCGTTGGTCCCGGCTGCATCTGCAGTCGTTAGCACCCACCAATCCGCACTGGGCCCGCGTGGTAGGTCATGGGCCAATCTCCCTATTCCATACATAGGGAAGGCCTGTGCCCCAGCAGTGGGGACATTAATAGGCTGATAATGATGATGATCATCTTACCATCTGGTGGACAGCCAGCTCGTTTTCCTGAGTAATCGTAGAAAAATCTAAATATAACTCTAGACACCTAATGCCACAGTTCGTTGACTTAACTTAAAAATAATATATTCTCCAATTAATCAGTCGGGCGTTGTATCTCCGAGTCGTTAAAATTAATGTTACGAGAATACGTGTCTTATGTATACGAGGTACGGTCGAAAGTGTTTGTAAAGTTTGATTGGGCATTGCGTAATTAACATTGAAAAGTCATTGACGTTTTTAGTTTTGATGAGAAACTATTTTATTGTTATCGGGTCAAGGGCAGTCAGTCAGCCAGTTACTTACAAATTATAAATATAAATAAATATTTCCAATACACACACCAATTAGCCCCAAAGTAAGCATTATAAGGCTTGTGTTATGGGATACTAGGGTAACGGATAGAATACATATATTGTACATATATAATTTTATATATTTTTGTATAGAAATACATATTGAACATCCATAACTGGAGTACAAATGCACGTATTCATCACTCAAACATCTTGCCCCCACCGGAACCCGGGACCTCTCGAGTCGACGATACCATGAAACCCGGCGTCCAAACCACTCGGCCACGAAGGTCGTCAAATTATATGTAAACTGCGAATGTGTCTGTTTTGTTTAGTGCGAATTGTTCTCCTAATGTTTTTCACTCATCACAACATCATCAGCAGCCTTAATGACCCCACTGCTGGGGCAAAAACGTTTTCTATGAATGGAATAGCGAGAATGAGTCATGCATGACTCACTATGCGGTTTCACTACGCTGCCGTCCTCACACTAAAGTGCGGCTAAGTGACATGTGGTCGAATTTTCAGCCCTAAATAGCATCTTATATAGTTTTTAATACTCTATCGATCTGTCTTTAACAAATATTCGTATCTTTAATAGTTTGAGTCCAAAAATCCGTCATGTGCTGAATGGTTACAAAATAGCAATAATTTTAAGTTTACGAGCCGTTTTTTGGCCATATCTCAAAAGTTAGTTGTGTCATCTAGCCGCATTTTAGCTTGAGGACGGCAGTACGGACGAAGTTCCACTGCTTTTGTTGTTGTTAGCACACACCGATGCTTACAACCGCAGAACACAAAGAGAGGTAAGAAGGGTGATTAAATACCGTTTGTACGGGAACCGTTGTCGCCGGCTCGCACTTCCACCTAATAAATAGCCAATCAAACGCCGCGACTTCAACAAAAAACCAATCAGTGCTCACACGCGAGAACAACTACGCAATCAGAACCAGGTTTTGGCCAAATTATGTGCATTTGCTCACACATAACGCCCATCTAATCTCTTTCCGTGTTCTGTGCTTATAGCGCTTACTTTGAGGCTAGAGGCTAATTGGTATGTTGGATGTATTTGATTTATTACTGTTTGATTTTATTCTTGGTTTGTGTAGTTAATGCGGATAGTGTAAATTTTACGAGCACCGATTTTTGCTAAAACTCAACTAAAACAAATTAAATTCGGGTCTGGGGGCCATTCGCCTAACGGGATTGCCATATCTATCACTTACGATTTATTTATTTTTATTTCTGACCACCGAAGGTTTACAAACACCTCGCGCGATTTATTTTTCTTTTCAAAATCAATATCGTTTCTTCAGTCTTCTAGGCTGCTACAAGCACTTGTGAATGTCGAAAAGTTACGCCATCGGTTCGCAAATCTACTGCGTGAGACCTTGTACTGAGAAGAACCGGCAAGAAACCCAGCAAGGGCTGTTTTTTTGCCCCTGTATTTTATACAGAGTCGTCAAATTGAATAATGACTTCAATATGAGGTAACTCATGAAGTAAGTTTCCATTATAAATATAAATAATATAAAAAATATGACTATAAATATTGGTAATGGAATATGAGCGTGCGGTATTTGAAAACCATCGGCATTCGTATATAACATAATGAAATCGTAAGCGATAGCCATAGCAATCCCGTTAGGAGATTGCCCCCTCCCCCTGGGGGCCAATCGCCTAACTGGATTGCTTTGGAAAACGCTATCGCTTACGATTTCATTTTGTTATTTCTAGCCGCCTGAGGTTTTCAAATGCCTCGCGCTCTTTTTTTTTCTTTTGCTTTGGTAATAACAATGTTAAAGAAAATGAGCGTGAGGTATTTGAAAACCTTCGGCGGTTAGAAATAACAAAATGAAATCGTAAGCGATAGCGTTTTCCAAAGCCATCTGGTTAGGCGATTGGCCCACTGGTCTGGGTTAAGCTACGGTTAAGACTAAATATGCCCGACTAGTTGGTAACCCTATTGTGCAGCACAAAAACTGGAGTTAGTCTATTCTATGTCCACTCTTACGTCACATGACCAGTAGTTCTTCTGTTATCACATTGAGTATCTGTAGTAGTATCACATAATTATCTTGACGTAACACGGCAAGCGTAATAAACATTACATAACATTGTATACTATAATAACATTGAAACGTAACTTGCGACCCGCCGCACGTTTGTGCGATATTTAGTTTGCTCAACCTTCTTATGGCCAGAGAAAAGTCTAACCTTTATTACAATTGTGGTAAGGCCCTATTTCATTACGTGTCAGACGGTGCAATCAATGAGTTATTTTAATGAACGTGACTTCGGATGAAGGTTGGTCGTTTAATTTGCTTCTTAATGTTAGGTTCAACATAAATTACGCTGCCATGAGATAAATGAAACACCCATTTGACGCTGAATTGGTGGCATTTAAATTTTTGCCTGGTGAAGTAATTTTAACTCCAGTACCCCAAGCACGAACTTTGACAACTCCGTATTCGTTTCGCTAACGTCAAAGTTTCCATGGAAACTAAGCAGCGCCCCTACCAGACGTAAGATCAAACTAGCTTTTTCCATAGAAAATTTGACGATGACGATACGAATACTTTCTCGCCCGTTATTCGTGCTTGGGGTACAGGATTTAGGAAGGAGTGCATTGTTTATAAACTACAGAAGAATTGACGTAACTACCCCCCACTGTCGACTGAATGTTAATATCTACCACAGCAATGTTATCAAACTGCGCATTCCTTTTTTTCTTAAGGTGCTGTCCGACGATCTGTGTTGTAGCGGGCGAGGCCGCGCCGCGCATGGTTGCTAAACGTATGAGAACTCTAACGTACAAGATTTAGCAGTATATATACGTCGGACAGCATCTTTAGACTCCCAATCCAGTTTGGAAGAATACAATATAATAATATGTTTCATTACTGTTGTTGTAAGGTTGTCAAAGTTCAAGTTAGGGCAAGGAGCTTCGCTAGAACGGCTGTTTCACCAGTTATTTAAACGTCTTGACTATACGCACATACCAAGACACACTTAACACCATATGGCAGGGAGTCATTTCTCATTTTCCTTCCAAAATTTCTCTCAGCATGGCCTTGACTCACCATACACAATTCTTCCAGGCATCGACAACGTGTCGTGCACGTTCGGCTCCGTGGTGTCTTACAAGAAAGGCCATAAGCCACGATACATCGATGCTAGGCTGGACCTCCGCATCTTATTGGTGGATACACGCGTACAGCGAGAAACCCGGGCGCTAGTGATGAAGGTGGCTACTGTTCGCCAGAGGAACACAGCTGCAATAGACCACATCATGGAGGCGTGCGACCATCTAGCAAATACTGCGATACAGGTAACTTGATACCAGTACCAATCGAGACACCTTAATGCAACGATCTTTTTATTTAATACTAGTACTGGATTAACATTTAATATATGTATATATAGAATAATGATTGACAGATAACTGACTGAGAATAATGTATGTTATTATTAATGTTTAATTTAAACTTTGCGAAACGTACTTTTTACGTTCAGGCACTGGTATGCATTCAAATACATGTCACATAGATAATTAATTACAATTCTAAGTGGATAGAATTGACATAAATATGATTTATTATTTTTATTAATATTATCCTTTGATAGCAGAAACTTATCGGGAAGCACACAACAGGGTATTACAATCATTTTTGAAAAGTGTCTCAATTAAATTCTAAACTGCTAACGGTGTTGATTCTGGCATGATTCTCTAAAGCTAAACTTAAATTTGACAACAGGACAACCCTGACATTCTAAATACAGAATGAAAAGGACAGACTGATGTTAAATTTAGTTTTAAGTTTACGAAAATCCTGCCCGAAATTGAAACCAGTATGCTAATAAAAAAACATATGTTTTTTATTCAATCGTTAAATGCCAATCGTAACATTGTCAAATTTCGCGCGTACTTAAACGAAAACTGGACGCAGTGGACGCCATATTGCTCTACGGTCTTGACGTCATTAGTACTGTAAATAAATGCGTTACTTTGGTTACGTAAACATTAAAAGTACTGGGCTGACAGCTGACGCTTTGACATATACTAGCCGTAGGTGTGACGTAAATGTGGCAGCTACTACGTCTTCTATTTCATCGTGTTTTATAACAGATAAAAAAATGAAAACTGAATTGAATTTTAAAATGCATTTTATTATTTTATGAACTGAAACTAAATACCAAATTTTCGTACTTATTTTTTTGTGTATTCCCAGTAGTGCCAGTGTAGTAGTCCCATGATGGGATTACTGGTATTTTTGCAGGATTTATACGCGAATAATAATGCTTATTGCGAATAATATGTTATTCGAATAATTACCTAGATAACAATTTATTCGAATAATGGCCAACTCTGCAGTACCTCACTACAAATATACGTTTTCATGAACCACAAAAAAGCGACAACTATATTTATCGTATCCCATCACGCGATTCTATGCATAACGACACTTGTAGAATACCTATTTGTAGCTCCAACTTCATGCCATCATTGTTTACGTAAATATTTGCGTGCATTCCACTGTTAAATATCGCGAAAACCATGTTTCTTTATAACAAATATTTCAAGGAAGTAATGTTTACATTTTTTTTCCAGGTTTTATTGAAGTTATCGAGTGGCAAATGCGATACGGACGTGGAATCAGACTACCAGCACTTGGCAGTAAGTAGTATGTTTAAAGTACAATTTTATTATGTGTGATGCTGCTAAGAAAAAAACGACGGGTTGCACTCCGGGAGTGAAAACTTGAATATTAACGTTGTGCATTTTTGATATTTTGGAATGGTTAATTTTGCACGAATTGCTTTAATTATCAGAATAAAAGTACTATCATTTGTGTGGTAGAATACAATATTTATTAATTACGCTATCGTATACAAACATGACAATTTATATTACATTAAAAAGTTTATCTCTCAGAAAAATCAACTTACATGAATCACATTTAAGCGCACCTAGCGACATCTTTTGTAAAAAAAATGCATTTTCTTCGCAATAAGGCTGCTACCTGGACGTCCTAGTAAGAGACTTATTATTATAATACGATAAAATCAAATATACCTTGAAAGTCAACAACCATTCCAATTTTATTGTTTTTGTCTTACGAATTTTCGATCAGGCCACGTGTCCTGACGCGAATTTAACATTTTTTCACTTCAAAAAAAAAGTCTTTGTTTTTTGACCGTTGACATAATAGGTTTTTATGGCCGTTAAGGTCTTGGCGTCATAGTGCTACTGAAATTGCTCGGATAGTGTAAGGCGCTGGATGAAATCCAGCTAGATATTTTGACCGATTAAATTATTCTTCTGACTGATTCGATTATTCTTGGACTTGAACCCAGTCTGTTACCTGGGGGCCTACCGCCTATCGGGCTAGTTGTGGTTATAGCTACGATTTCATTTTGTTATCTCTGACCGCTCCACAACATTATAAGTATATTGTAACAACATTTACAAATCATTATGTTGTTACAGAGGAGCTCGATGGCGCAAGTGGTTAGCGCGTTCGGCTGCAATCGCTGAATTTAAACAACTTTCGCAGTGGTCAGTCATTGGATGGGTGACCAAAAATCTTCTAAGTCGAGTTCCTCCGTGCTTCGGAAGACACGTTAAGCCGTTGGTCCCGGCTGTTTCTGCAGTCGTTAGCACCCGCCATTCTGCATTGGGCCCGCGTGGTGGGTCATGGCCCTATCACCCTATTCCATCCATAGGCCACAGCAGTGGGGATATTAATAGGCTGATGATGATGATGTTGTTACAACGTCAATACAATCATGATTTATTTAATATAGATATATTCATAGATATATTCATTTGTATTATCAGGAGTTATGGGAAATGAACCATTGGCTGCTGGGCGCGTTGGGAGTATCGCATCCGTCTTTAGAGACCATTCACGCAGCGGCGCGGGCGCGCGGACTCGCCTGCAAATTGACCGGCGCTGGCGGTGGCGGGTGAGACAAAAACCTTTGAAAGTTCTCATTTTCAATAATGCTCTTTTCTGTAGTTCTTTTTTATAGATAAGTCCGAGAAATTGATGTTAAGTGACGGTGAAGTACAGACGTGAAGATAGCTGGTACAGCAGTTCTGCCTGCCACACCAGCCACCCTCTCCTTGCTGGCCTGCATGTTGCTTCTCCACGCCTCTTTTAAAGGATCCCAGGTTGTAAGAAGGAGGGAACACGTGAGCAGGCAGAGCATTGAATATTTACGGATAGTGTGACAACATAGGTACTAGCAAATGCCACCATGTTAAGGTGCTGTATAATTTCAAGACTTCGTGTCCATCTATTTGTTTTCCCGCTTATGATATTCCTACTCATCGTCTCCCGTGCATTCTTCGTTCTGTCTCTGTACCGTCCCCTACTATTTCCCTTTTATTTTTAAATCCATGCATCTCCCACGGCGACATCACGAGGCCACCTCGGGGACTCATTGGGTTGCGTACCCATTGGTAAACAATAATACAGATGCAATAAATACTTAATAAAAAGAAAATAAAAATAAAAAAAATACAGAAGAGTTTTACAAAAAGAAACCTGATATTAAGTGACAGTGGTGTCCAGACAGGATATTTACCCTAAGGCCATGGCTGCGGAATCCATTTAAAGGCATTCGTAGCTGACCTATATTTCGATTTTTAAAATAAGAAAAAAAAAAACAATTTAAGAAAGATAAATTAATTTCATGAGTCGTATTCATACCCCCAGGATCTTTTTCAAATATTTTAAAAACGCTAATGTCACAGTGCGGATTGGTGGATACTAACATTTGCAAGAGGCTTAATTAATATGGCCACCAATTAGACTTGCCAGATGCCCGGGAAATCTGGGATTGTCCCGGAATTTTGCATCTTGTCCCTTGTTCAGTAATCAGACCTTATTGTCCCGGATTCTGAAAACATACTAATTTTGTAACAAAATAAAGTAATATCGAATGACGCCACTGGTCTGCTTGATGTTTTAATTCTGGGAGGCGGGTGGTGCAAATGTCTAGAAATTGAATCGGTTCAAGCCATATAAAGGTATTCGTTAATGATCTATATTTTTAGTTTATGTCTTATTCTGGCAACCCTACCACCAATACATGTTGAAGCTCGGGATAATATCTTTTTGATCGCCTGTTCAATGTTCCAACTTTCCCGTAAAGATACTAAGCCTAACGACGATCCCTAATCCTTGTTTTGCCGTTAAAAGTCAATATATGCGTGACGATCATAGCATTAACTAATCATATCGTAATTTCCATATTAATTTATGTACATTTTCGTTCCAGTTACGCTATGGTCCTCATACCACCGTCGACGCCCCGGTCCACAGTAGATGGCTTAACAGGCCAACTCCTGGAGCTCGGCTTCCGAGTCACGGAGACCAGATTAGGTGGCCCTGGCGTTTCCTTGGAAATGTGACCCTCGCCACCTCACAAAAGACAGAGAGAAATGTAGCGATGAATATTCAGTGGGAAATGACAGAGAAATTTAGCAAAGACAAATCAGTTATGCTATCAAAGGATATAGATAAACCGACAAAGAAAAAATTTGCAAAGAATATTTTATTTGGAATACTTCAGTGCTACCAAAGAATACTGACAAACGACAGAGAAAAAAGCATATTCAGTGACTGCTACAATTGGCTACTACGGATTAGTTCAGTGCTACGAAGGGATACTTGCAATGTGCTACAGCAACCAGTGCTACAATGACATGTATTGAGTGCTACAGTGGCATATGAATCAATGATTTTGTTAGCACTTACAAGAAAAAGGATGTGGATCTACATTTCAGTGGCGTTGAGATCGCTAAGTTTATACAACAATGTGTGACTATGAGCAGTTGAAGACTTGAATAGTGCATTAGTTCTATTTATAGAAACTACAGTGACCTATAAGTGATTTTTTTTGCAATGCGTTGTATGTGCTATGTGGGTGAATAGTCATGACTTTAGTTGATTTATGGCAGCTATACAATTAACAAGTTCAACTAAGAAAAAAGCTGTTGTAAGCTTATCATTCTTTCTTATATGCTAAGTAAAGATTTTCTTTACCAGCATTAAGAATTGTGAAAATAGATACTTTTAATAAATTGACAAATTGGGACGTGTTTGAAGTGGATAGTTAATTAAAGTGTGTGACACCAAATAGAAATCTGTTTATTTTAATGTAATACTTAAATGTACCTAACATCAAAGCATAGACTACATATGTTATATTAATTTTATTTCATGTAAATACATGCAGTAATAACGAAGTTTTGACTGCGAGAGGTTTATTCCCTAAATATATATTTAAATTTCCGAGATTTCGCGCTCCTTGAACTTACGTCACTTGTCCCTGGGGGAGCGTTCAATACCTACGTTCTAAGTGCAATTCTTTAGCCTGGCGTTTAAATTTTGACATAAAATACGGATTTTTGGTCATGCGATGTCAGATTAATCTACTCAGATTAATCTGACATCTCATGAAAATGAAATTGCTATTAACGAACAGCCCGACCAACCGTTGATTAATTTTTAACCTCAAACAGAAAGTAACCTGACAGATTAATCTTTCTCGTCGGTCAAAATACTCCAAGCAAACAGATTTACATCGTATTGATTTGAGGGGTATTACCGTACGATTCAGATTTACTCCAGTTGTAACGAAGGATTCAGATTAAAAAGATTGATCAGATGGGAATAACGAACGCAGCTAGTGTATGAAGCTAATGCCAACTCTGTCATTTATTGCACCTAGAGCGTAGGTTTTGAACGCAGCCCTGGGGCAACGACACGACTAGTGACGTCATCGCATGTTCGCAGGCCGCCCGCGTTTTTAAATAATGTCGTGCGAAAATTCATAGTTTATGCTCAATTTTCTAAGCCATTTTTAAAGATAGAAAATACTAAAAATACAGTTATTCTTGTATTTTTTTGTAGATAACTTTGGCATTTTTAAATAAAAAAAATGTTTGTCTGTTGTCCATTGTATTTGCAGTGCAAATTCTTAAATAAATTTTAGGAAACTTAATAAAAGACAAACCTTTGAGTGCGTTATTGTTGCTTGTGTCCAGTAAGATATTTTAAACAAACTTTAAAGTTTTGAAAACTGATTATCTCTTGTTTTGTATATAATGTGAAAGAGATGGATGAAAGTGGCCACTATTCATTGTTATTTTGTTTAGCACAGAAATTACTTATATTGTGACTGCATACTGATGTCCCTGCATTCCTTCGAAAAGATTGCTTCCGCGCACAAAGCGTAAATAGATGTTAAATTATGACTAAAGTTGATGCTGTCACTTTACAATTGCAAAAGATTTTGACAACATGTCAGCAAGACAAGTATTAATTTTCTAATTGCTTCTCTCGCTTCTCTATGTTACAATGGGTTCAAAACTTGGTGAAAACTTTGAATACTTATGTATTTTGAAGTTTATTATTTACAACACTACAATTTCTTGAGCGCCCGTAAAATTAAATCCTTTAATACTTTATAATGTTTGCATTTGTTTATGTGAACAAAGTGAAAAGTCTGAAGTACTACTATTCAAAATTTATGACGACAGTGAAGTTAGCAACGAGTTACGAGCGTACCTATTTGCAATTTCAGTTCAGTGAAACCCTATTAGGTACTTATTTGTTTACTACTTCGCGACTTGCGCTAACTTCACACCCTCCATTAAGTTTGAATTGCACTATACTAACACATTTAAGTCAAAAATTTAACTAAGTTGCTATAAACGTAATGAAATGAATAAATGAGTATTTGATGAAAAGAAAACAAAGCTGAAAACGTTATTTTAATTAGGATTCTAGTGAAGTTTTGATGTATGATTAAGGGGCTGTACTGAAATATTAATATTTATCTATTTAACATATCTCTCTCGAACTGTGATCCCCTATCTGCATTAAATGTTTGAAACCAACAATTAGACAATTAATATGAGAGAATGAACCTTTTGTGTAACAGTATAATGCATTTTATAAAATAATGATGAAAATAATGCATAAGCAAAAATACTTTTTGATTTGATATAAAGTAAAATGTGTTTATTGATTTTCTTTTATAATTCCTGACATTTAAAGACGAGAAGATCAGAAATGTCTAGAATAATGTGAGAGTTCAATAAATAGCACTTTCTACCCGTTCAAAAAGTGTCTTATTAAATGATTGGTGTGAAAAACAGACATGAAAGTATTAGAATTATTAAAAAATCAATCAGTATATGCAAGAATGTTTGTTTTACTAGTTAAAATTCAATTTGTGTCGAGCAGAAATCGAATACTTAGACAAGTATTCGATTTCTGCTAGACAGTACAAAAAATCTTTGAATATAATGATATATCAGCTAATAACTGCATACTTAAATTATATATTTCTTCATTTTAATTGAACCTTCGTTTGATAAACTCTGGTTAATCGAATTATCGAATATCAAACAAAAAAGGTTTTATCATTAAAGGTAAATTAAAAATACGCTAAAGGCCCACTTGCAGCTAAATCTCAATTTAATTAGGACTAGATTTAGCCTATACAACAATGTCCAAGTCCAGCATTGACATTTTGTCATTTTTTTGTGGTATAAATTGAGAGCAAAATTGTTGCAAGTGAACATTCGTCATTAACCCAATTAATGATTGATAACTTTCAAAATTAATATCAGAACAGACAGCTTCCTAAGATTATATGATATATAATCTTTTAGTCAAAATCAAAAAAAAAAGAAAATGTTATATTCATGAATAGTCGAAACCTTCCATATTTTATATAGATTTTTAATTGTAGTAGTACATAACTGTATTGTTGTGTTAAATCGTGTATTTATTGTGTTTGTCATACGCAGATGAGTGTGAATTATTCTAGGATCTATTTTAAATTATTGTTGTAGTTATGACCGATAAGGTAGTTTATTTTTTAATTTACATGGTTATACTATAACAACATCAAATAGATTAGATTTTTTAAGAATATTTAGGAAATAATTGGTCATGCTACTGCTAAAAACTAATTTTCCATTGTTTAAGAAATTGTTTCATTTTTTCAGTGGTTCTTAACCGATGGTGCCTGAAAGCACACGAAGTTGTCCGCGAAGCCATTCAAAAAAATATAAGGAACAACGATATTAAATACCCTAGATTCACGGAGCTCCGTAAGATGATCGCGTAGTCAAAAACAAAATAAGGCATTATTTTAACATTGAAAGTCACCTTTAACGCGTACTGTATAAGGTCTTAATTAAAACGCATGCGTCAAAGACTTATGATAGTTCGAAATGGAAGCTCGCAAAATTTTACGACTTATTGCTATATGCGGAAGAATATAGACCTTATTTCTTTTATTTTTACGCGCAATTCTAAATGCGCTGTTAGCAATACAGCGGGTGCGGACCGCGAGGAAAAGAGACGGCTATACGGCGACGTATAACCGAACATGCATTTAAATATCACAAATATTTTATATTAAATCAGTTTATAGTAAATATTAGAACAAAATTTGCTTCAAATTCGTTAAATTAACAAACACAGATTAGATACCTGTTGAAAAAACGACGGTTTACGTACTATAAGTATTTATTTCACATTTTTTCACGGGGCTTTGCGGCATCTTGACTTTTCGACGGTCCGCGCGTGACTGTGAACCAAGAAGTGCTTGAGTGGAGTTCAAGCACTTCTTGATTGGGACACATTTTGAGCGCTCATGGTGTATCTAGGGTATTAAATATCGTTGATAAGGAAGAGAACTGATTGATATACAAATCCTACATATAGTAAGTGTTGGTCCGTGGCAAGACGGAAATTTTGACAACGGTCCCTCATCATTAAAAGGTTAAGAACTATTGGTGTAGATAATACGGTTGATGACAAATTTTGTATCAAAAAGTACTGGGCACGTATTTTTTTTTCATATAATCTAAACATTACAGAGATATTATATTGATTTGAAATGTGTGATATGTCAAGTCTTGGTACAATTTTCACTTAGCAGTGACGTCACGAGTCTACACGCGAACTAACGCGCTTTGTCTTTCTCATATTCTGATAATTGACAAAAGAGAAAATATGTGTCCTTATTTTTGAAAATAATTAACGGACCAAATCATATTGAACATGGTTGGAAATTGTGTCAAATATAATGAATCTAATTATAATGTTCCTACCTTCCTTTCTACGGGTATTAGAGAATTTATCCCAATCTCAAAACATATTTTGACTGCGAAGCATAAGTTTAATTCGAAGTGTAAATTGTATGCAATCGATTGTGGTTCATATATCAAGCGAAATAAAGCTCCAAATGAAAGAAGAAAAGAAAGAATTTGTTTTGTATAACTTGACTATCAGAATTTGATATCTAGTACGTTAAGTTCGTTTTCAAATTTAACGACAAATAATCGGTAACTGTAAGCGCTTCTAGTCTGAAAATCAATCCTTATTC